GATTATGGATGTGAAGGAGGCAGGAGCGTACGCAGAATGGTGGTACTGTCCCTCTAAAATGACCGACTTTTCTGACTAAATTTTGAAATTTTTGACAAAGGGAACAGGGAACAATAGAACGGAGGATATATTAAGTTTGTCATTCTAGCTTCCGAACGAAATGAAGTAGGTTAATAAAATTATACTCAAATGTATATTATGTGTTCAGGACTTTTGGTATTGAAAATGGACCATGTGGGTCCACATTTTGGTATAGCCCCCATATAATGGACATTATTCACAGAAAATGTTTCAAATTTGGTGTTTGAAGTTCGTAATGCATACTACAGCCTATGACAGAAAATTGTCTGTTCAGGTCCATGTTTTGGTGTAGCCCATATATAATAGTACCTCCTTATATTCAGATTTGATGATTTTAGCTACATTATTCACCGATTTTTTTAAGTTCCGCATTTTAATATTGTAATGACTTATGACAAGAGTTGCCTATGCAGGTCCACTTTGTCTTATAGACCCTAAAATAATGGCTTCATTCGGTATTTCAAGGGAATTTTTAACGGATTTTTTTTTTTTTGAAAATTGCCAAATTCGTTCCAAATGGTGGAGGGTATTAAAAGTTCGGCCCGGCCGAACTCACAGCTTTCTTACTTGTTTTTTGTTATAATTATAAGTACGCCTTCATAACATGTGCTTTACAAACAAACAATTGGTCATAATTATTCTCTTCAAATTAATGAAAGGGACTTCAAGAAATGCTGGTATTCTAAATATACAAGCAATTGTCCTATAAAATGATGTATAAAATAACATAACGTTTTTTCACACCTGTCTCAGAGTTCACGTGTCTGCATGTCTTGCATAATACCACATTGGAAACTCAACTTCCATTTCGTATATATATATTTTTTTTTGTTTTACGACCAGATGTGGAGCTACATAACACAACAGGGGTTATATCAGAAGTATTGCAACCTTCAGAGTTTCTTTTTGTTTGCAAATGAACAGAAAAAAATCTTATTCAGGGCTGATTGGCCCAACTAAAGGTTGAATGAATGAAATATTAAATTAAAAATGGTCTGCTTTTTATTATTTTTGTAGTGGCTATGTTTTGCAAAGAATATTTTCATTTAGTTTAACATAAATGTACAAGAGCAAGGACAAGTTAGCATTTCAAATATCTGGAGAAATACTTTAAATTCTTAAGAAGTACTTTATTCATGTAAAGTATTAATTGCTAAGGATAAATTAGTTTATTTTTTATTTTAAAAGTAATATGTTAAATATGCTACAGTATCATTTAACAAAGTTACCAATTACATATAAGTGAAAAAAGTTTGTGGAATATTTTTGTGTTAAGAAATCAAGGTTATTGCTTGCCATCATAGGTACATTTCTTATGACTAAATTGTCAGCGAAAAAATCTGAATACGTTGTTCCACAAGTTCATAATGAACACTTGTTGAGAAAACGTTAACTATATAGTGGCATCAGTCTTATTATCGCAAAAAGAATTTTACTAATATAATGTATGTTGCAGGCAAAACTACATTCATCCGAAGATCCTATTACAACAGACACAGCCGAAGCAAAGCTTATTTACTACACTTCACGTGAGCGGTCACAAACATAAAAGGAGCTAATTTGAGCATTTGAAATTGGACACATGTCGCCCTTTTGTATCTGAATTACCTTTCATTTTCAAAAGAGTTTTTAGGTAAAGCGTGTAAGTTTTGGTACCACCCTAACATTACTTTTATTTTTATACCCTACAACACCATGTGTTGGGGGTATTATAAGTTTGATTGGACCAAAAATTATGCAACACCTCGAAAAATTGATTTCCTACATAGGAAAGTATATATGGATCTTCCTATCTCGCCGAGCTGGGTCGATCTAGCTATGTATGTATGTTCGTCTGTCCATGTTAATTTGTAATCACCCTACAGGTCGCAATTATGGCCTGATCTTCACGAAATTTAGGATGGAGTTGGGGATAAAGCCAGAATAAAACCCTAACTCTCTTGGAGTTGATCGCATAATTTTTAGGGGTTGAAATGAACCAAAAACATTTCCTGATTTTGAAGTTGTTCTACAGGTCGCAATTATATACCAATCGATGCGAAAGTTTGCATGGGGCTAGAGCTTAGGACTGGACAGAAGCCCATGGTCATCGGGTAATATTTAGTGGGTGAAATAGACCATAACATATGTGTTAAATAAAAGTAAAATTTTCTATTAAACCGCGAATATTTTTAATCCAGGCGAAATCGTAAATAGACGAACAGGTCAACTCTGGCCGTTACGTACATTTCCCGATCACATAATTGAAGAAAATCGACACGCCTGAGAGGAGAGTTAAGGACAGGAAAGAATTCTAGCATTTTGGATGACCATTGGATAATATTTAGCTGTGAAATGGTCCACAACAACTAATAGCACGGCGGAGTGCGTAAATATTGGGCAAATGTCCCTGGTCAAAAAGCTAAGGTTAATATCTGGGCAGTGATCCGAGACATAACTTCAAAAGCGAAATCTTCCAAAATGAATTTGGACATAAGGGGGCTTCTAACATATTGTAGTGTTATAGGTTATCATATTGTCGGCCCCGACAACACTGTGTTGGGGATATTATAAGTTTGATTGGGCCAAAGATATTGGTCTCCGACATAGGAAACTATATATGGATCTTTCAATCTCGCCGAGCTGAGTCGATCTAGCTATGTATGTATGTCCGTCCGTCCGGCTGTCTGGAATGAACCAAAAATAGAAAAAATCTAAGATATCCACTTAAGATGACAAATTGGAAATATATAATCCAAATGGATCCATTATAGCAAGATGAATATTGTTAATGCAAGATGTTTATTAAGACTACCGTGAAATGTGTCAAAAACCCATCGAAATACCAATTGACTCAACTCGGCTGGCTTTTATTAGGAAAATCAAAATGTTGAATATCGAGGAGGACGAGAGGTTGAACGTGGACCTACATAGACAAATTTCTGCTAAAACCATGAAAATACCGAATGTCTGTAGGTAATTTTATATGGGGTCTATGCGCAATCGTAGGCCTATTACACAATTTTTGTTAGAGTCATAGATACATATTAAGAACTTCTCATATCAAATAATTCTATTGAAAAATCTAGCTAAAATCATCAAAATACCCGAAAATTGAAAGGTACCGTTATATACCGTAAAACTAAGTAGACCAGAGGGTTAAGTTACCGAAATGAACGTAGAATTTTAAACAATTCCATTGAAAAATGTGGCTACAATCACTAAAATACCGAATATCGGGTGGTACCGTTTTATGGGAACTATACCATATCGTGAAGAGATATAGCCTATCTTCGAACTTGACCTGGAGGTTTTAAAAAATACTAGTTATACAATTAGACGCCAGTTTTAATACCTTTAAAAGTTGAATAATAATTTTAATTATTTGGTTATAAATATTACAATTGTTTAAAAAAAAAGTTGTTATATAAAACATTTAACAAAAAAATATTATACCGCAATTCCCATTTCAAATATATTTTTCTCTTCCAGACACAGCTCAGGCAGCATTGCGTGATGTAAATTTATTCATTGAACCACCAGCCGTACGACGCAGTCAATCGGTCACATTACGTTGCCTCTATTCTCTGGAGGGTGCACCGCTGTACTCTGTGAAATTTTATCGTGGCCAATTGGAATTCTTTCGTTACACGCCCGGCGAATATCCCAATACAAAGGTTTTTCATTATCCCGGAATAAAAGTCGATGTAAGTAAAATATAACCGAAGAAAATCCATAACAGACAGAGCAATGTTTAATTCAATTTTTATTCGTGACAAGCCATATTCAATATTCGTTTGCATGTAGTATTTAAGGTATTTCATTAAGAATAACACATAAATATGGGCATTTTCATGTGACAAAAATAATGAAAGGGGATGTTATTAATATTGTAATCTTTCTGACACTTTAAAAATCAATTTTGTACTACTACTAATATAGTTTCTGAAATTGATTTTGAATTTAGCACAACATTCAGGATGAGATAAAGAAACTGCAACAAAGTCAAACGCCATAATTTTTTTAAGGTTATTGAATAAAAGAAAAAAAATGTGGGAAATAGCATTAAATTTTAGAATAAGTTTAGATTTGTTCGAATTGTTCACCTTTGACACGAGTTATGACCTTCAAACGCCCAATGAAACCGTTAAACGCTGCCCGAATGTTGCTCTGCGGTATTTTGGCCCATTCCCGGCGAAGCGCTTGCTTGAGATGATCGACACTTTGGTATTATTATTCCAGACACAATCGTCCAACGCATTGGTATCCGCAGATTTTGGTGGACATTGTGGGCTTGATACGAAGCAAAGAACCTCATTTTTAATCATTCATTTTTTCGCGATAATATTCGGCATTTATTTTGATGCCACGGTCGATAAATGCGAGCGAAGAGCGACCATCGGCTGTTATGGCGGCCCACACCGGCGCTTGAGTTCTGGTGGCCGACCGAAGATGCACATTTTCAGCTGACCTTCTTGGCAAGCAAAAACCATTATTTTGTTTGTTTACAAACTGCTGGACAACGAATGTTTTCTCATCGGAGAACGGCGAATTCGGCAGTTCACCACTTTCGACCAAGCGACGCAACTCTTCAGCTCTTTTGAGTCCATTTTCTCTCTGTTGCGCTGTAAGTTCTTGCACTTTTTGGAATTTCAATGGCTTTACCCCGAGCTCATTTTTCAATATTTGCCGAATGCCGGCCACTGCGACGCGGGTTTCGATCAAGTCGCTTCTTTACTTTCGAAATATTTCTGCTGATGTTGCTGTTTTCTTCCGTCCACTTCTTTGACGTCGGGCTACGCTACCAGTATCACGGTAACGAGCGATGGTACGAAACACAAAAGATTTATTCACATTTAAATGCTGGAGTGCTCTAACGATAGCCACTTGTGGTTTTCTAACCAAATATCACTATCACGCTTGAATAACTTTTTTTCTGGAAAATTCTCACCAAAATGCTTATGTTCGCTTGTAAACAATATAATAAGCTGTCACTGGAATAATTTTAACAGCTATAAGACGAGTGGCTTAGAGATGACGCAGTCTGAAGTTGGTTACAGTTTTTTCATCTCACCCTGTACACTTTAGGGCCTATGGAATACCAGCATAATTCAGTTAGCAGATAAGAAGCCGAATATAGTTTGGAATTCTCAGTCCAAACTTTATGTATGTCTAAAGCTTTAGAATTTGATATGTCATGCATAATTTCTAAAATCAATTTCAAAATCCATCTAAAATACTACGATCTTGCTATGTTTTTGCAGCGAAATTCCTGCTTATGGCCGTACTAAATCGAATATATCATACAAAATTTGTAGAAGTATGTTTCTGTCAGAGATAGAACTAAATATAACCATTTTTCTCAAGTTTAACAATTCTTTTTTTATTTTTTTCATTTAATTTAAAGTCCATGAACATACCTATTTTTTTATTTATATTCACATTAAAAAAAAAAAAAAAAAAAAAAAAAAAACTGTTCCAGGATAATTTTTCATTCCAATTCATTTTCCTTTTTCTCTTTCTCTTTTACTTTCTTCCACAGGAGAGTGTTTCGAATGCCACTCAAGTTGTTATACGCAACGTGAACTTTGGTTTATCTGGAAATTTTTCCTGTGAAGTTACAGCCGATGCTCCATTATTTTCAACCGCCACAGCATATGCTCAGATGCAAGTTGTCGGTAAGTCTTGTCAACCAGCCAGGCTGCCAGCCATCCAGTTTGCTAGCTAGCCAACTTTTCCCAGTGCCATACAATGGAAAAGTTTCTCCTGCGTATTTTTTTTTTTCACCAACGTAGGTTTTATTGTTGTCCGTCCATGCGCCCTTGTGTAGCTTTAAAACTATTCGTTTGTAAACTGTGTGGGCGAACACAGACACGTGATATGTAGGACACACTCAAAGGAAGGGAGTTATTTTCCGGTTCTTAAAGGGCGAAATGGCGTATTCAACCAACTCAAACCAATTATTAAACACTAGAATCTGGCCTACGACCCCATGAATGTAATTGCTAAACGGCTGGAGACAGTGGAGGTGTTGTTGTTGGAGATGGTGCAAATGGTTGTTCTGTTCACTATTACCCTTGCCATTGGTAGGGATCGCCTTTAAGAATGTGCTGGGTAGTTGTGCTCTTCTTTGGCAGCATTTTAGGCAGAAAATAAAACTTTTAATTGAAATACTTTGTACGAACGACGAAAAAAAAACAAAAGGAAAGAACAAAAAATAAAAAGCAATTTTTGTGACACATTTAAAAGATTTCACAGTTTTTGGCTGGTACAGCTGCTTCCATGGCTAGCTACCTTTTGCTGATTGCCTATCCACCTACTATTCTCTTTAATTGTTTTGTATTTGGATGCAACAAATATATACGAAAATTGAATTTAAATAGTTTTCAGATTGTTGCTTTCACTGGGGAATTTAGCAAAAGTGAAGTTTCCTCGAATTGGGTACGGTGATTTTACAAACTTTTACTCCCGGACAGTTAGGTGTTGGCTTGAGTCCTTTGTTGCTTGTCAACTTTGATTGCTTTAAAATTGGTAAATTAAATTATTCACTAACAAGAGAGAGGCTATCGAGGTACTCAATTGATGAAAGTTAATGAAATAAACAAAAAAAAGGACATGGATAATTAAATTTATTAACAAAATGTATTTGATTTCCTTATAATACATAGGTTATCACGATAAAAACCCGGAAACTTCAGTTTTCGAACTAATATTGTAAGGAAAAGTAAAGTAGTGCAAGATCTAATAAACGCTAACAGGAAACTTTCAATAATAAATAAGCCACTATTTTTTAAAAGCTAATTAAAATATAGAGCCGTTCTTTGGAAAAGTGTTATTTAAGGGGTGGCAAGGAAGTATTTTAATTATACGGTCTAGTTACCAGCCAACTACACACCAAGAAAATATAAATTTACTTTTTATATAATAAAAGTTCAAATGAGCCAAAAAGTTTGTAACAAAATATTGGTCCTGGGCATAGGATGTCCTATCCAGCTGTGGTGTCCGTCTGTTAATTTGTAATCACGCGTCAGGTCGCAATTATGGCACCTTTCGCACGAAATTTCTTATTAACTTAGGTACAAGGTCTGAATTGTAGATAGGAAGAGCCACATATACATTCCTATGTGCAGGACCAATATTTCGCGGTGTTTGGACCAATCAAACTTATGACACCACATAGTGTTGAAAGGTTATAAATAGTTAAATTTTTACACTATAATACTGACTCGACATAGTTGCTCTCCTTTTTAATCAATTGGGCGGTGCTGTTATTTTGAAGCTATATCAAAATGACACAATAGTCCAACGGATTGGTACCCGGAGATTTTGGTGGCCATTGCGCGCTGAAAATTAAGCTAGGTACCTCATTTTGTAACCATTCTTAGTGCGATGGTTCTGAGACCTGTTGGAATGTCCAAGGTCTGCGGCCAAAATGTTTGCGGCTGTTATGGCGGCCCACGCCATCACAATGGTCGGCGCTTGAGTTCTGGTGGCCGACCGAAGATGCACATTTTCAGCTGACCTCTTTGACAAGCAAAAACGATCATTTTGTTTGTTTACGAACTGCTGGTCAACGAATGTTTTCTCATCGGAAAAAAACAAATTTATTCACTTACGGCATTTCACCACTTACGGCCAAGCGAAGCAACTCTTTAGCTCTTTTAGGTCTATTTTCTTTCTGTTGCGTTGTATTTTCTTGCACTTTTTGGAATTTCAATGGGCAATTCGGAAAATATTGAAAAATGAGCTCGGGGTAATCATTTTTCAATATTTGCCGAATGGAATATTGCGATATATTCAGCTCACGAACCATTTTCGGCAACTGCCACGCGGGTTTTCTTCCATCCACTTCCATGATGTCGGCCTTCGCCGCCAATATCACGGTTACGAGCGATGGCACGAGACACAAAAGATTTATTTACATTTAAATGCTGGAGTGCTCTCAATATAGCCACTTGTGGCTTTGTGGTTTTCAGCCAAATATAATGAAATCACACTATCAGGCTTGAATTCCATCAGGAATAATTTTTTTTCTGGAGAATTCTCAAAAAAATTCTTTTGTACGCTTGTAAACAATATAATGAGCTGTCCCTGGAATAATTTTAACAGTCTGAAGTTGGTTGCAATTTTTTCATCTAACCCTGTATATGTACCAATTTAAAACTGAGAGACATGTTTAATCCAAATTTGAGGCAAATTAAGCACATATATACTTATATCTGGGGGTTTAAAGTGAGTATATCGAGGAAATACCAAGAGAATGGCAATGTTAATATATTCTCTATATATTCTATATTCTCTACACTTTAGTAATATATTAGACAACTCTAATTCACCATCTTCTTAAATAATCACTTCCATTTTAAACATCGAACGCTATTTTTTACCTTTAAGACCCCAGTTTAGCAACTGCTCTAATAATATTTTAATTGCAATAAACATTTCTATATTTTTTTTTGAACAACTTGATTAAATAACATGAATGACAACACCTTGAAACAACAACAACGACAACAAATTATACATTCTTATGAACTTTACTTATTTCGTGCAATTATTTCCTGTGTTAATAAACAATTCTCTGAAATAATTAATCTCTGTTGACATCCAACCATTCTATGTCATCTCTAGCTTGCTTAAAGTAAAATTGCAATGAAAAACAACAAAAACAACAACATGCTACGAATAACACTGTGCTCTCACACGCACCGTTCGTAATCAACGTGAATCAAGTAGCACCACTCCAAACAACAATTTGCATCATTAGTGTATTTAAGGAGAGCACAAAAATACACACTAAAAAGAGGTCTCACAACAAAATGAGAACAAAAAAATAAAACAAAATAAAAACACTAACAATTATCCTAAATACCAACATGACTGGCAGCAGGAAGTAAGCTTAAAGCTAAAATTATATTTAAGCCAAGGAGAGGCAGAAAAAAACTAAAGTAGTCGACCAAAGGGAAAAGTAAACAGAAACAAGAAAATGTGCTTAGTTGCGTATAAAAGGGTACAGTTAATTAATTCGTATAAAATTGTATTTTGTTAAATGGCACTGTCATTAGAGTCGTGTCAATGTAATTCATAGTTCAGTACACCTGTTGCTCGATGTATGAGTTGTTTCATATATTTCATATCACTCATACGCAGAGTTTTCATACAAACGACCGGTGTCCACGGAACTATGTACATAGCTGTCGGACTAGTGGCTTGGAAATGACAGCAGTCTGAAGTTGGTAGCAGTTTTTTCATCTAACCCTGTATATGTACCATTTTAGGCGGGTATCTCAATACGTTCGGTTGGTGGTTTTTAAAACTGAGAGACATGTTTAAATCCAAATTTGAGGCAAATTAAGCATATATATACTTATATCTGGGGATTTACTTCGATCGAACTAGATTGGCACAACTCCAAGTGTCACACCAAATGGTCAAGTCCAAATCTGTGGGGTGGGAAATTCTGTTTGGGGATGAAAGGTCTTTGTTTTGTCATTAGTCGTACTTCCGCGTTATAGCATTTTTGCCAAGTTAACCAGGAATTTACCCATAGGGTATTTAGTCATCGGTCTAACTTCTATTTATATGAAAGAATTTTTAATTTAGGAATATTTTTAGAGTAATATGTATTTTCTCACATATCGTTTAAATTTCTCTCCTCTTGATTTTATCTGCATTTGTTTATAAAATTCCCCAAATGGCCGAAAAGGCACTGAACGGCAAAAAAGTTTGTCGTATTCGGCAACTGTAATACAGATCGACCCCATGTCTTCCAAAAGGTGGGAAAACCAAAACAATATAATCTAGAAAAAATTAAAAATATTTCAACATAAATGCAGTAAAAATGTGAACCGAATGAATTTACCAATGAAATTCTTACTCGGCTACAAAAACCTCCCTAACTCGAAAGAATAATCACTGTAGTTGCTGGTAAATAAACATTACCAACACGAAAGTGGGGGTGTATGCATTTACTTAGTGTTGAACTGCTTACTCACTGTGTGTGTGTGTGTCACTGCAAGGAAACGAGTAAAACGCCAAAAGGTGTTTGCTCTGTCATCTAAATACAATACCCTTTGAAAACTTCTATGAATAAGCGACAATGGATGAATGCTTAAAAAAAGAAGAAGAAAACATGATAAATAGGGAGGAAACTTAAATGGATGTAGATGATGGGTGGCTGGGTTGTTGGTAGGCAAATTACGTCGAAATACCATGTTCTCGTAGTCACAATTCGTAACGGCGGACATCTCTAGCATAGACTTTGCGGAAATACTACTATTAGCGTGAAGAGCTACAGGTCATTAGATCTGGTATTCGTTAGCAATTTTCCAAAGTCGCAGTGCCAGTGACGGTATTAATTAAATCTCCTACCTATGGAAGATATCCTATTTGTAGGAAATCTGTTAATGAAATACCTATTAGAGAACCGTTGATAGTTCTTATTCTATCTTAAATCTATATGTGGCAGTAGTAGAAGACCTGCTATTGGTTCTATATCCGTAGTAGACCTGTTTATGGTCTTCTGTTTTTAGAAGATCTGTTAGTTTCTATTTATTGAAGACTTGTTTATGATGTTCTATCTGTTAGTTCACAACTGTTTGAGGGAAACCCACTTATCTACCACTTCTTTCTATATAGCACATGTTTATTGTCTTATATACATGGAAAATATATTCTT